ATATATATATATATATATATATATATATATATATATATATATATATATATATATATATATATATATATATATATACACACAGTGAGAAAGGTTGCGAGTTGAAAAATCGCGACGCCCCGCCATCGATAATCATATCGTCAGAGGCTGATGGAAAAGAGTGCCTGATGCCGCCTCGAGGAAGAGCGTCGCATCCACGGAGACAAAGCATGTCCTTGACTGCCGTTATCAACCATCGACGAGGTCTCCTCGGGTAATGCCAATCTCTCGTTTTCTAATTTCTCCCCTTCGAGATATTTTCCAGCCGGATGCCCCCGTACACGTGTACGTGTACGCGTACGCGCGACCGATTTAATCATCGGCGGCATAACGTATCGGGGCTGAAATATTATAGGGTTTCGCGTGGTCAGCGCGAAATACAGGGGCGCAAAAAGCGTGCAAATTTACGATCGTTGATTTCAGTTTTCGAACGGAATATTTTCGACGGTGACGGTCCACCGACTCGTTTGAATTTATTTCGTCGAGTGTATTGACGCGAAATCGGCCGGCCTCGGATACGGTTAAATACCTCCCAGGTCCTTTATAAACGCCCGCTGGAAATCGCGTTCCATATGTTTTAATCGCCGCGAAGCACGACCTCTGTGCCTCGAATCCAGCGAGACCGTGAAACGCGAGACCCGAGCACTGATTCCCTCTCGACAGAGCGTTGATTTCAGGCATAGGCAGCAACATGTCCCTGCCCTCCTGCATCCCACAGGACCAAGAATTCGTAACGGGACACGCGGCAGCGTGTAAAACGCCGTTGTTGAACAACCGGAATCATTCGGAAATTTTCGAGAAGCAACGTCCCAATTTCCTACCACTGTCGTCTGTTAACGTGCCGATGAACGCTTTCGATTCAACAAAGGGTGAGCGTATTTCCTTTTTTTGTTTTTTCTTCTCACGGACGGAAGAAACTAAGGAACGTTGAACGACGTTGAAAATTTTATTCGGTAGCCAAGCAACAGATGATCGATCAACGACCAAAGTTGGTACAGAAAAGGAAGTGTCACGCGAAGATGGTATCCATTGTGAGTACCCTTTACGCGAAATTATTGATCGTAATTGGACTCGCAGTACCTATCACTGCCAGTGTGACGGAAAGAATACCAACTTCTCTGAATCAGGTGATCAAGTGTTCTAATCGTAAATAAGTATTGATATATATATATGAGAGAGAGAGAACGTGTAAAATAACGAATCTGTAGGGTTTCTATCTGTACCTGTACGTAGTCAGCGTCACGTTTGTGATCGTCATGTACGTCATCGTGCTGAGGGACAAAATCGTCAAGTATCTAACGCAGAAAAACAAGAAAGAGCAGGCGTTGAAATTCGGCGAGGACGCTTGTCAGGTAAACTTTGCTCTTCGAAAATATTTAATCGGGTGGAAAATGTGCTTGGAATCGGGCGTGAACGCCGTTGACGCGTTGCCTCTTGCGCCCGCGAATGTTTGTCTTTGACAAAGTGTCAGAGGCGATCAGAGACGGATCCCTTTCAGGGATGTCTCGCCCTGCCGGTGCCCATTGTTGACTATCGCGGGCCAATTACTCGTCACATCGACTCGGCTGTATTGAATGTAATTTGTACAAAAACATTTTTCACCGGGCGCGTGCGAATCGGCGCGAGTTCGTTCGCGCTACTTTCTAATTAGCGGATGGCATTCAGCCGGGTAACGCACGTACAATGAAATCTTTGTTCCGTCAGACGCAACAGTACGGCAGCTTTTGTCTGAGACTCGGCGCGGTGGGATTCGGCGCTGGCTCGTTGGTATTTACGGGATTGCAAATTGGGGCGGAAATAGCTTCCGGCCCGTTCAGGGCGATTACACCGGGTGCCAGGCTGTTGCTAGTCACGGCCCAGATGCACTTTATATTTCTCAACAGTAAAAGTCTCAGCTTGGCCAAGCACACCGCCCTGGCCAAGCTAGGCCTGATGCACATGATCGCGACCAACCTCTGCGAATGGTTGCAGGTAGGTACACAGGTACGTTCAACGACGTACGAATATTTACGGAGATATTTTTCACCCGCGGGAGAGAAAAAACAACGCGCGTGTTTGAATAACTCGATATATTTCGTTCATCGTGTTTTCCCGGAAAGTGAATCGAGAACGGAACACGGTTCTGTCAACTATTCCAATCATCCGAGTCAATTTTCCGATGATTGCTATCGATTAGCCGTGTCGTATCCGAAAACAGTCGCAAACGTACCAACGATAACCGGATTGTATAAAAGGGAAAGGCAACACCAGCACCGTTAAACGATATCACTTTGAGTATCAGCCAGCATTTCGATGACTTTTGGCACGAGTGAGCGATTGGTATCGATTAACCGAATTTACCATTTATCAAAGCCAAACAAGCGCTATTTATTTGCCAGACTCGTAGAAACGCGTGCTGCCGCTACGGTGCTCGTAGCTACGTCTCGTTTTCGCTTATCAACCAGTGAGAACCGTGCCGCCAACGTTTTAGCTTTTGATCTCTCCGCGCCGCGGTGACGAGAGCACAATTCCACCGGGGGCGGAACAACACGATTCCGCTACGCGGCCAGGTGCTTTCGTGCTTTCCGCGTTGTGTTTTTCAGCCGCGTTTCGTTGATATACGCGTGCGTCGTCGTGAATTTTTCACACGTCCTCAGACATTCCGTTTGTTTGTTTGGCAAGGCGTTGGTCGAGGAAACGCAGCACGAGATCGATCAGCTGGGCGATACGCACGACGACGAGGACGGTATCCTCAAGTCCCTGCTGAGAAACGCCAGCCCGTTCCTTTTCCCGTGCACAATTGAATTCAGTTTAATTTGCGCGGTGATACTGTTCGAAATGTGGAAGAGGGTGGACGAGAAGATCGATGCAAAGAACGAGTCCCCGACCAGGTCTTCGTATCACCTTAGCATAGATTGCAGCAGCTCTCATAGGTCAGCGCCTGGGAATTTAATTAAATCGATAGGATTCCCCCGTTAATTTGTTAATGCGATATCGTCGAGATTTTAAGACTCTTCCCTTCTCCATCGTTTCCCTCTTTCTTTTTCTATTTCCAGAGGTCTCTTCGGCGGAATTTTGATCATCGCCGCGACGATACTGAGCTTGATCATGTTCTTCATGTTGAAGGAGGCCAAGATGAAGATAGCTATTGTTCAGGTCACAGCGTTGGACGCCACTATACTCGCGTTGGGTAACTATGCCGACGTTTTACCAAATTATCACGTGTCGCTATCGCGTGAAACTCGCATTTCGCATTCGAAAAAAATGTCTGGAGAATTTGGATGATCTGACTGAAAGGTCAGTTCTTTCGTATTTTATCCACAAAATCAAAGAAAAGAAAACGGACGATTGCAGGTATGATCGCTTCGATCGCTGGAACGTTGAAGTTGCAAGCGTTGCAGCAGAAGATTATCAAACCATCGGACTTGGATACCACGCTGTTGGCGGCGGCTCAAGCTGGAGTTTATCTGTATTGTCTGTTCGGAGTTGTTGGTGATACATTGACAATGGGCCCAACTTGGGTACTATCGCTGATCACAGATTTGTTGGCCCTGATGCAGAGCACCAGCCAGACGCTGCTCATTAAAGTAAGAAATTGATCGTATCGGGATAATAATGAGTTCTTGCGAGATCGAAACTGTCTCTCGAACTATTCGAAAATTCGTAGATTGCGTGGGGAAGACGTTGCTCCAGAAACGACAAGCCTGGCAAAGAACTGATCACCTTCCTGATAGTCGTCAACATCGCCCTATGGACAGTGAACACCCTGGAGAAATCTCGGGCTGGAGTCCGTCCCGATCATTTACGATTCTTCGGTGTGTGGGCATGGACGATCATCACGCACGTATCCATGCCGCTGGCTATATTCTATCGGTTCCACTCGGCGATATGTCTGTTCGAAATATGGAAGACGTGCTACAAAAGTAGATCGAACAGCGTCGTTCAAACTCCGTACTAATTTGCCTCGTTTGAAACGAGACTGAACTATAGTACTGTTGTTTTAATAAAATTGTTACTTTTCGTAAAAGGTAAAACAGTAAAAGAAGTAACGGAGGAAAACTTGTTGTTCTTCCACGTTTCCTATAATTACCATTTAACTTAGCAAGCAAAGGAGAGAGGGGGCAAGGAGAGAGAAGAAAAGGAAGAAAAAAGAGAGAGAACTACGATCCTTGGCAAATAACAACGTTGCAAGACACAAAAGGCAAACTTGTCCGCAACGTTTACTAGCTTGCACGGGAACTTCTAAGTTGACGCCAAAGACAAAGGGTAAAAGAGCCGTTTCAAAGGTTCCTTCGTTGGCCGAACGATGTTGGCGAGGACGCGATGCGACGTGTCATGGCGGACGTGAATCGATAGAGGTGCATACTTTTATCGGTGTACCACAGAGAAAAGATAAACGGTAACGATGATGGTGGACGGTCGACAGTTTGATACGGTTTACGGTAAACACATTTTGGTAGCAATCACATCACGAGGCAAGCAAGCCTCGCTGCAGCGAGAAGTAGGTGATGCTTTCGGTGGTTGGAGAAAGCGAGCGAGTGGACGGTGAAGAGCTCTTAGCCAACCCTTTGTTGCTTCTGCCACCACTATTGCGCCATCCTTCCTTCATCACCCTCCGAGCTCCTCCTCTGCTCTGTCCCCTTTAACTCCCACACTAAACGTAGTGGAGGCTGTACTCTTGACCAAAGGCCTCTGATTTACTTAGCCTATCGAGTGCTCTCGGACTCGTCCACCAAGAATACCGTGTACGCGTCCAGGTCGTGTACGTCGTGTTCCGAAATTTCGAACTTAATGCTCCACTTACCGTCTGCCCGCCCACCTTCCGCGTCGAGATTTCCAAGCTCTGATTGCCGCCGTGTAAATAAATTTCCCAAGGAGAAAATTGGAACGCACTGAAATCACGATGATTCTCATCCTTGTTCCCCTACGTTTTATTTTCTCTCTCTCTCTCTCTCTCTCTCTCTCTCTCTCTCTATCTCTCTATCTATCTATCTATCGAAAAAACGCGTAACTTTCCATCTGGAAAAAAGAAAACTGTCGCCGACCGATAATTGTTCGGAAGAATTTTGCAAAAAGGGGGACACATGAATCTTCGACGAAAGGAGAAAGAACGAAGGGTGTTAGTAGCAGCCGTCACAATCCTCTAACGCTCGTTTTTGTTTTTTTTACGGATTTAACCAGGATTTACCGTCTCTACGATCTCCTGCCTAGGCGACCTACCACTACCAGCCAGTCGGATACAATCTGCAACACGCGCATGGAAAACGTTCGACGTCCGAAAGAACGTGAAATCTTTGATTTGCCGTTAAATTTTGTCGTTGAATTGCGTGAACCACGAAAGTAAAAAGTGTTCGACGTTCGCTTTCAAAATGTTGCTCGAAACGGCCGGTAAAAGCGAGATGAATAAAATTCACACGTCAATCTAGTCAGTCTAGTAATTCCTTCACTTAATTTAATTAGCAGTGGAATTTTAACTTGCCCCATAAACGGTGACCATAATTATCGCATAACGAATCGTCTATTAACGGTAATAGTTATTATCGGGCTGAATCGGCCACGTAACGAGAATATCGATTATTATTAACGGCGAGATTATTTATAGCAAGGGACACCTTGAAAGCGAAATAATCAAGGACTGTATGAATTTGCATTTAACGTTCGACTAGTGCGAACCGTTTCGCGCGAATTCAGGCATTTCCACGTGTATTCACGGTAATTCGGGAACAAGGTGCGACGCTCGTTCGATCGGTCACGAAAAAATCTCGCAATTTATCGGGTTTACCGATCCTGTCCTCCCGTAACTCCCGTCGATTCTAAAGTCCACGTTAGTGGGAAGAAAAGGAAACAAGCGTGGAAGAGGAGGGAAAGGCGATGCGATAGCACCAAGACGAGGAAACCTTGATATATCCGCCAAACACAAGGAGAAAGAACACCTTGGCGGATTTATCGGAGCCGTAGATAATGGATGGTCTCTTCCCAGCGGGAAAAGTTTTTTTAAATAATACAACGTCCGAGCAGCGAGAATGCTTCGATTTTACAGCGATTTGAAATACGCTTATAACGGAGCAACTCTTTCCCCCTACCCCTTTATCTTTTTCCCCGGTAAATACACACTGCGATAAAAAAAATAATCGTCCACCGAATGAAGCGGCAATAACATGGTTTGTTGTTGTCGGTCACGGACGAAGGACGAAAACGTGTCGACACGTGAAATCATCAAGCGTTCGAAATGAAATTACCTTGACAAGAGCGGAGCGCAAAGGAGCCACGCGAAGGGTCAGCGGCGGTTTAATGAATTTTCGATATACTCGTAGCTGCCCGCTGCAATGTATGTATGTAGCTGCACGCTGATAAAAAGGACCGGCAAAAACAAGTGAATTTCGAGGTGACTCGATGTAACTGAAATGTGAAAGGGGATGGCTGGGGCAAAGGAGGAAGTCTTTGGCGAAAAGAAATGACAGTGGTATTGGCAAAACAACTACCAGACAAACAACCACCACCGCCGGAGGTCGTCGATTGGACGATCCTCGGGAATGTATTTAATTCGATTGGACTCTGCCGCCATCTGGACGAGACACGAGAGAAGAAGGGAGGGTAATTCGCAGCAAGGGTGAGGGAACCTCTGTTTCCGCCGGAAATGAGACCTTCGCGACTCGTACTCTCATCCTCTGCTACCCCTTTTGCCTCCTCTTCGACTCCCTCTCGAGCCTCCTCGACCCGCTTGTGGTCGTTCCCCTAACCGAACTATCTATCGCCCTCTATCTCGAGGGCGAGAATGCAAATCGTATTTATATTCCATCTCTGGTAGCCAGGTAAATATTCCAAACAGCCCACGGTTACCCGTGTTTCGTGCGAAAGTTGTTCTCTGCAAATCATTGAAATCCACTTGCTGGATTACCCGCGTTCCCCATTCTCTCTGTTTTTCTCGCTCTCTTTCTCTCTCGTATCGCCCTCGATTCGTTTCATAATCCCGATTTCGCTCTCTTTCAAATATTTAAATGACAAATATTTACCGATGTCGCGAAACTTTAGTTTCTAACTGAATGCGCGATTGAAAACAAATGAAATGATTTGACAGGCGATATTATTATCATCGGACGGCCGTTTATTGCGATTTATTGAAATACATGCCCATGCGTGGAGAAAATGAAGTTTAAACGAATCCCATCTCCACGATGTCGTGTTTTCTACTATGACCGACGCTGTATAGGAGGGTGCAAGTTGAAAGCTGAATAAAAATAAAAAGGGAAGGGAAAAGGGAAGAGAAAAAGAGACGAAGAACGAGACGAAGAAAAATCAGAGACGGAAAGGCTTACTAATGCTCCCTCGTAGCTCCGGTGAATGTCGCTTGGTCTCCGAGGATGTAATTTTCGCTGTATGCCCGGATTAGAAGCCAGCTCGCCGGGAGCTCCTCCACGTTACGCCGCTTGATAAGTATTGCCCCATACCTCTTGAATACACTAGAACTGGAAAAGGGATTCGAGATGATCTCAAAGCGATCGATTGGCCTCGACGTGACGTCACGGGTCACGGCGATAGGCAGCTGTTATGTCCCGTTAAGAATCCAGGTACTATAATAGCGCGGATTAATGATAAGAGCATAAGGGTAGAACAGCCGTGTAACTTGCTGGAACGTAAAAGCTATTATTACGATACCTGTCGTTGCTATTTCAACGAGATTGAGTTTGCTTAATGTCTCGAGAGAAAAAGCTCCATCGACTTTTCCAAAGACCTAGATCTTTAAGAAACCAATATCGATACATGTTTATATATAAATTTATCTACATTTAACATGCGTGTACACAAGTTTTGAAACGCGACCAACGAATAAGGTATTTTACTCTTAAAAGATATTGAAACATTTCTCAATCTTGCAGATACTATGTGTCCCGGTGAAACCGATATCTATTTAAAGTATAAAAATTGCTGATGGAAAGAGTGGATTACGCGAGCTCACCGTATTTGAGAAGAGGAAGGACAAAACTTTTTCTAGACGATACACATTTCTTAAAACCAGGTAAGCGGATCATTGGAAAATTCGATAAAAAAAATCCAAAGGAAACATGCACCAATGAAGAGTAAGGTATTCTTTCTTTATTCTACTTTTTAATTTGAAATAATGTCATAAAAATAAATGTGTGATTTTAGTTGCAAAAATGTGTAGATATCCTTTTAACACTAGAACCACCGAAATGGTCAAAATGACCATTTGAATATTTTTGTTAGATATTTTATAGACACGAGACAGTGTATTTTTGGAGACTTGAACGATTCTTCCTAAAATATATAAATAACAGCTTATATACTCTATTGAATTATAAAAATTTTCTGTTTCTTTTATTTCAACACTTCTGATGAAAATTTTATGCTAGTCATCAGTGGTTCTAGTGTTAACTAAAGGATATAAAAAATACGTTCACTAAATATTTATTATTTAATTCATGATATTCCTTTATTTATATCTTAAGACTAACATTGTCAATATTGCGCATACCTGATAAAATAAGAAACTTTCAATAGTGCATAATTTTAGTACCTGCTTCCAATTCAATATATGTATCATTGTAAAATTGATACTGGTAATGCAATAATATTCGAATTATATTGTATTTCAAGCAAATTTGTAATTTATTTTCCTTATTCGAAATGCTGCTACGAACGTTCATAGATATGCCACCGATTTTTTTTCAATGATGATGTTACAATGCATTATTTAGTGTTTTATTCACATATGTAATTAAACTTGCATCGGCTTTGGCATTCTGGAGGGTGCAGATGTTCGTGGGACACACTCAGCTAATGACCGTACCTGAAACAAACATAAAAATTATTTGAAAAACAATATCCCAAGGACAAGCTCTGGTAAATATATGAAAATATTTGTGCTTTCTGTACAAACACACGAATAATTTTCAGAAGCTTTAAGAAGCCAGTAATGTTTGTTGTAAGTTGTACTCACTTCTGGAATTCCCACTCTCGATTGTCAAGTGGACAAACTTGTCGAGTCTTCAACCAACGCGAGATGCAATGGAAATGGAATGCATGCTATGCAAAAAAAAATGTCAAAAAATTAAAATAAAAATATTAAAATATTTTCCTGTGATTGATACTAAATGTATTGAAATAAAATGCTATAGTAATAAGATCCATACATTGCATACACCCCAGGCTACAGTACATTCCTCACTAGTGGCTGATGCTTGATTTGCTTGACACTCAATACATAAATCCATTATGTGATTACGGCAGATCGCGCAGTTATCTACTACAATATCTACAAAATAATAAATTTCACAATTATTGATAATATCTGGTGAAAGAGGTATTACAATAACCATTTTCTTATACTAAATTATGCATATAATGTAATTTTTGAATACGTACCCCATGCCCAAAGAGCCACAGCATTCCACTGCAATATAAAATTGTGTACTTTCAGTTAAATGTTACATATAAACCATGTGAACATAATAAAAATGACAATGCAAAATTGAGGTTAGAATTCACAGATCAATTTTTTAAAATCAAAGAAATTTACGCTTAATTTATGAAACATTTTTCAATTTCTTTGTCTCACCTTTTTTACTTCAAAACGTTTTTTCTCTCCTTTACTACTACTCGAAGTTGGCAAATCACTTTCTTCATCGTCAATTTCCATTGCCGAAGCCATATTTAAATTTTGATGTATAAAACCAAGTGACACCTTGTGTAAGAAATTCAAAATACGATGAATGACCGTTTCGAACTACAAGTTTTTTTGATTATTAAACATTTTGTGCGCGTCATAAGTTGTTGTATTATACAAACAATAATATTTTGATTCCATATTGAGAACAATGTTTAAGAACCAAATATCTGTTGTAGAAAAGAGATGTAATATTGTGCCATTGTATCGATACTAGGTTATGTTTCCCGCAAAGGTAACGATACTCGAAGAAATGTGACAGTTATCTTGATCGTTTAATAGCTACTAGATAAGAGCATTTTAATTTCGTATCGGTATAGTTTTTAATTGTGCTCTTGTAATTCATAAATTCCGGTATAAAATATATCACAAGATGAGGCGGAAAGCAGGCGTTGGTGCTATTCAAAAACAAAAGCTGGAGCAAGAAAAATACAGAGATAAAGGAACTGAGATTCAAGAAAACCAGTTTGAGCAAATGACAAAACAGATGGAAACGTTTCGCGTAAATTTAGAGGAATTCGCCTCAAAATATAAAAACGAAATTAAAAAGAATGCCCGCTTTCGGCGACAATTCACTGAAATGTGTGCGTCAATAGGTGTAGATCCTTTAGCCTCAGGTAAAGGATTTTGGTCGGTTCTTGGCATAGGAGACTTTTATTATGAACTTGCTGTACAAATTGTTGAAGTTTGTATGGCTACAAATTATAAAAATGGTGGATTGATATCATTGGATGAGCTTAGAACAAGATTGATACAAGCTAGAGGTCGTAGAAAAGAACATCAGGAGATTACAAATGAAGATTTATTAGCTGCAGCCAAAAAGTTACGAATTTTTGGAAATGGATTTTCTATTGTACCAATTGGCAGAGGCAAACATTTAGTACAATCCGTTCCTGGTGAACTGAGTATGGACCACACTGCTGTGTTACAGCAAGCTAGTTTATCTGGAAATGCATATATTTCAAAATCTACACTCTGCAAGGAATTAAAATGGGAACCAGGTAGGACACAAAAAGCCTTGGATCATATGGTAAAAGAAGGACTGGCATGGCTAGATGAACAAGGTGAAAATGAAACATTATATTGGTTTCCTAGTTTATTTACAGCCTGCATTGTATCCAAAGAGTAAGCACTATATTGACTTTACTATAAATAGATAGATGGTGTTTTAAAAAAAAAGAAAGATCTGTAGTATAAAATGTATTTTTAATGTGAATAAATTTACATATTCTTATAATATTTACACAGTCAAACATCCATTATAAAGCTTATGTAGATAAAGGAAATATTGTCATCTAATTTCATTCGGTTCATTAAATCTGAAACAAATTACTTACAGTTAGATTAAAATATCTTATTATTACATTAAACACAAACCTTTGTATATCTTCAATTGCATGTTGTGCTAGTTGTTGTTTACAGATTAATAATTCTGTATTTAATTCATTATTTTCCTTCTGTAACGTACTTATTTTTCTTCTCAGTTCTTTAGATCTTCCATGAAATTTAACTGTCAAAGATTTTGCTTCATCTCTCCACCTGAAATATAAATTAATAAAGATATCAAGATAATTTCTCATTTATTTTCATAAAAAAAATTTGCATACTTTTTGCTTAGTTTCTGATGTACTTGAACATGATTGATTAATTCCTTTGTTTTTCTGTCAAATTTCTCCTGAAGTTTATTGATGTGATCTGATAATGCAGACTGACAGCAATGACATTTATTTTCAACTCTGTAATAGAAATATTTCTTATAATATGTTTTGACTTAAATGCTTGTATTTACTTACGTAATATCGAAACTAGGTTTGTTTTTCAGATACGGATTTATTTCATCAGTAATACCATCTTTAAATTTATTGTCCTCTATGCAAGTTGCTTTATGAAGGTTAACTTCTAATTCTTGAATTTTTGTTTCAAGAGAATGTCTTTCATTATTTCTTTTTTGTATTTCATATTCAAAATCATTTTTCAATGATTTTAATTGTAATACAAGATTTTCTTTATCACCCAATGTTTTAGCCAATTGATTTTCTAAATCCGAATATTGTTTCATTATATCTCTATTTTCATGAGCAGCTATCTTCCCCTGATCTTCTGTATTATTGGTTTGTTGATGTTGATTTTGTAATTTATTGTTTGAAGCACTTAGTTTGTCTTCGAGAATAATAATCTTTTCTTTTAATTGTTTGATTTCCATATCATATTTGTTTTTTGCTATTGTTTCATCATACACTTGTAGCTGAAGTTCCATACGTTTGGCTTTCTGTTCATACTCTAAAACTTTTATAGTTGAATCTCTACGTATTTTATTCAATTCTTCTTCAATAAATTTCAATTCTCTTTGCGCTTTTTCCGCTACAATTGTTTTTGCTTTTAGTTCTGCATTAAGTTCATTGATCTCTGTTAAGTACTTTTTCGTATTTAATTCAATCTCATCTCTTGTTTTCTTATTCAACTCTTGTATCTTTACATCATATTCATTAGCTATTACATTTATTCTCTGTTCCAACCGGGCTTTTTCTTCCAATACAAGAGACTCACGATGTAGGGCCAAATCTTTTTCTCTAACTGCAGATTCTATCAATTCAATTGCTTCTGCTACCTTAGTTTTTGTTTCCTTATCTCTTTCCATTACATTTTCAGTATACGTTTGAACTTCATTTAATTTTTTTTCTAATCCCAATTTTGCTTGTAGTATTTTATCAGTCTCAATTTTGGCATGAGCTAATTCTTGTTTTAATGTCTCTATTGTTAGTTGGTTGTTCCTGTCTTTTAAACAATAAAAATAATGTTTCCATCTATTATTGTAAATTATAAATATGTTACTGACCTTTATCCTGGGCACTTGTTTGAAGGTTTCTATATTTTTCCAAAAGCTCATTCTTTTCTCTAGTTAAACTATTAATTCTCTCTTTGCTATTTTCATACAATGTCTGATGTTTGATAAAATTATTTCTAGCAAGTGCAAGCTTTTCCTCTAACATTTTAATAGCTTCTGAATAACTTTCTTTAATAGCATTTGCTTGTTCTTGATAAAATTTTGTTCCTTTTCCATCTACATGAAATCCTTTTAATTGATCCTCTAAGGCACTTACAGTATCCAGAGAAATATGCCACAGTTGCAAAGCTGAATCCTTTTCTGTTTCTAACAGCATAATACGCTCTTGTAAATTTTGTATTTCCTTCTTATATGCATCTTCATTACCACATTCTTCCAAATGAATAGAATTCAGGGATTCTTTTATATCATTAATTTTTTGATCCTCATTTCGTAGAATTTCTAATTCAGTCCGTATATTATGTTGTTCTATCTAGAAAATGAATATGTAATCAATATTTGTAAATATATTTGATTGATTGTACACAAACAATATACTTTGCACAACTGCAACTCTCGTTTAAGATTTTCCACAATTCCATATTGTTCTTCAAGCAACGTATCTTGCTCGCTATTTTGAATAAGAAAAAAAAATTAAGAAGGAAAATAAGGAAATAAAACAATTAGTGTAGGAAGATATATAACCTTAAAACTAACCTTTGTTTCTGAGCATCATCGTACTCTGTATCGAGCATTTTGTCGCTAAAATGATTTATGTTTTGCAATGTTACATTGCGCCAAGAAACATAGTGGAAAATATATTGTACATTTAATTTATATTTGCAGTGTCGTGAGATATTTCAAGCAACATCATTCAAGCCCGACTCGTAAACATCAATAATATTTCTTTTTACCGATAGCGCATAAATGTGCATGCATTCAACAGGATACTCATACATAGTACATAAAATTTTAGTATCTGTAGTGTATTTAAAGCACTGCAATAAAACTATACATTAAATATTGATTTTATGTTCGTTTGTCAATTATAAAACATAAAATTAAAGCGATAAAACACAATGCAAACAGATAATACCGACTGAAGATAATTCGTAAAGCCGCGTATGGTAAAGCGATAAATTTAATTTATCATTCATCGGCAAGCGAGCATTTCGAATAATCAGATAAAAAAAAATATGTTTATAAAAAACAAGTATAAAATATATGAGAACAGTAGTTTATTCGTGTCATTGTACATATAAGTTTTCGTTCTAACGAGCATCTCTGTTAAATTGTTCAAAAAAAGCTGCAGTCGGTTTGGTTTTATAGAGTACACGGTTCAGATACTCCTGATGAGATTTGTGTTGCTGCGCGAGTTCCAAATTTTCCACTGCTATCTTTTTCTGAATTTCCCTACAAAGCACCGATCTATTTAATCCCCTTTCTTCGTTGTGATTCAGCAAATCGCCTAACATAAAATTCTTACGTTCTTTTCCGGTCAATTTCACGCTGATACGAATCCGCTATCTCCGCCTGGGTGTTCATCAATCGATCCCATTCCTCGTTCTTTCGTTTCTCCTGTAATCTCATTTCCTAGAAAAAAAGAAGAAGTTCTTCTTGAACGGGCCAAATTTTTTCGTTCCCCTGGCCGTGCCCTCGAATGGCCGTGACAACGATTGGCACCGTTTCAACTATCCACGGCGCATCGTTAAAACCGCACAAAATAACTGCTCCACCTGCTCGGCTTTTACCTCGATTTCTTTCAGCTGCTGTGCCTGTGCCTCCCTGAAAACTCTAAGCTCCTCCGCAGTCATGCCCTTGTAACGCGAGGCCAACGGTTTGCGCGGTCCATGAGCGCTCTCCGCCTGCTCTTTGGCTTCCGTAAGGAAGTCCCCAGTCACGTGATTGTAGATATCCGCCTTCTTGTCCTCCTCTTCTTGAAGGGCTTCGCAGTGGCGGCGGTACTCCTGCTCTTCAGCCTGTCGTACGGAGAAGCGAAAAACGAAGCCGGTCATTTGACTGAAACGCACGATCCAACAAAGCGTGACAGTCCGAGGAGAGAGAGAGAGAAAAAAAACAGTCAAGGACGAGAACGAATTGGGGAAACGACTGGAGGATCGTTCGTCGTGTTATTATCGGAGATTCGTACATCGATGACGTCACCAAGTTTACTCATCGTTCGTAGCAACCTCGTCGTCGCTGTAAACGGTGCTCACCTTCGACGAAGGTTTATGTACGACCGTGCAGCTCGTGCTCGGGATGCATTAAACGACGTGGCAACGATGACTTCGTCTAGTGATTCCGTACGGTGACACCGGAGGAATTCATCGGCGACCAAAACAGAACAGAACAGTCGTATCAAGTACGACGAGATTTTACCACCGTTGAACTCTGACATTTCACGGTTCGTCGTCATTGAATCGTTCGCGACGAGAGAAGAGGCAACAACAGAGAGGACTTTAAGTCAATTAATGCAATGGAGTGCCATCGAGCGTTAATTATCTGAATTTTCACTTTCTCATTGCTCGCAAGCATCGAGCAACACGCGAGTGGAATCTAGAAGAAGGACGAGGTAGAGGATCCATCCATGTAATAAGGAGATACGATTCTCTCTCTGCCGCCGGGTGGAAAATAGAATTGTCAGATAATAAGATTCTTATCTTTTTCTTGCAGTTGCTGCCGCTTTGTCCCCAGCCGTTTCGTCGAAGGACTAAATAGGAGAAAGCCTTACCAGGGCTCGATTAAATCGCGCGGTGGCTTCGTTCAACCTTCGACGACAGTCCCGTTCCATTTGGTCTAACGCCATCGCACGCTTGTCCCTAGAGATGACGGCTGTCTCGTACGCTTTCTCGGTTTCCTGGCGTTCGCTCTCGGCCTGCATGCGCTCGTTCTTTTGCTTCTCGATCCACCATCTCAACTCTTCCTTCTGCGCCTTCAAGCGTCCCTTTGCATCATCCTCGTCCTCGCCCGGGAATCTGCATGATCGGACGAGCAAATATTTAATACCGCACCTTCTCAAACTCCAGACGAGTTTGTCGCACGAACGAAATTTATTTATGACAACATTTACTTCTGCGCGAGGCCAGGCCCAAAAGACAGGTCGACATGTTCTTTCTTTTTCAGAGCAGTCGGATCGTAAAGATCGAAATCTCGGCGTTGTTCTGGACGCTGGTACTGTTGTCTGAAGTGTTCGATCTCTTTATGTATCTTTCGCCTTTCCTAGAAGATTGACAGCGATGAGATGTAACGTCGTGATCCGCTGACGGAATATTTTGTCGGAAGAAACGCGCAAAGAGGAACGAGCGCGATACACGACAAACGTTGGAATCATTAGCCATGACGCTGCAAAATACGATTAATCATCCGGCCGTTTGTTTTTTCCCGTCCGTAATTGATAGTTTTACCTCTTCTTGTTGTTTTTCCAGCAGCAAGGCGAGCTTACTACCGCGAATCAAATTCTCGTCGAGCTGGGATTCTCGGGCCTGTTCGAGCTCACGTTGCTGCTTCTTTTCCGCGACCTGTTTGTCCAAGAATTCCTTGTCTATCTGCGGGCGTTACGGATAAAAATCGTTATGCCGGACATACTCGAAAACGCAGCAGGATATATGTATGTCGTTCCTTCGCGTGCGTATCTTTTTTTTATCTTTTCTACGCGATCGATCTGTAACAGGTTATATCTGTGCTTGATGAATACACTTTGCTCGTTTTGAGACTTACTCCGATTTTCCTGAATCGTGCATTGAATATTCGTTCTTTTCTCTCCGCGTCTATTTGCCGCCTGCGCTGAATGGACGCGGCCAGTTTCAGATCCTCCTTGGTCGCGGTTTGAAACTTCAGCATCGTGCCAAATTCGATCTACGCGAGGACGAGCGTAACCAGTGCACGAGTGTGAGCTTGGCCACGAAAGCCGCAAGTATCACATGGAATTCGTTACCATGGAGCGTTTGGGCGATAAACGCGGCACTGCCCTCTGAAAACCAAACACGATTCCTCGCATCGAAACGGAGGAGGGAAGGGGTGGCAGAGAGAGATTTCTGCTTATCGATTAATAGAAAATTTTGATAAAGTTCGTCGTCCATCTAGTCAGATTAGCCAGACCTGTCGATAACATTGGATTACGTTATGATTGATAGGTTTAATTTGAGCGTGATGTATTTCGAACGCCGTTAATAGCGTTCGAATTTAGACGACGAACAGAATATATTTGACATACATTTGGCCGCTAATTGTCGGCTGCTAATAAGAATATTTGCATGAAAGAGTCACGTGAATAACTGCTGTCGAAGATGTAAACATGTGTCCTACTATCTGTTTTCGCGGCGAAAATCATTACGGATGATTCGTGACTTTGCGTTTCCGTGTTATCACGGTTCTGTGAACGTGAGGTATCGATCGGCTGTAATTTGTAGCGTGTTGACGATCGCCTGCAATTGCAGAGGTTATAAGGCGAGTATAAAGAACAAATTTACTCGCCTTCGTTTATTTCTTTTGCGTGGATGTTTGTTTCGCGTGACACTGTGTGACTTACGTCTCGTCATTTTCTTCGACAATGAGAACTGAATAATGAGACCGGGCGTGGGAGCCACGAGAACACAATGTGATTTATTAAATATTCCGGGTTCAAGCCGTTTTAGGTGGATTACGAGAAGCTCGAATGAATTGTCGTGAAAGGCAAAGCCTCTTTGCGGCTTCCGCGGATGGACACGATTATACGCTATCGATGCGAGCAGGCATAGATTTTAAGTAATCGCCCGTTTCCTCGTTTATCGATTCCATCGATTCCACAGAGCAATTTCTGTCTCCTTATTTCATCGAAAGATTCCGTTATGCCATTAATACTGTCGGAAAGTGAAAAAAAAAAAAAAAAAAGAAAGAAAGGCGCAAACTGGCGTGATTTTGCTGATCTTTAATTACGGAGACGTAACCGGATGAGAAAGCAAGTCGTTTATAACTATACTGCTAATTACTTCGCTATCACGATGATTACGACGCGAAACGTCTGGATGATTCTCGCGTTAAAGAGTCCTGTCCGGCTGTTGGAGCGATTGATACTCTTTTGTGCGTCATCGCAGTGACGTTCGAACGACGAGCAACAATTTTCGAACAATGCAAACGGATATTAACGAATTTTTCACTCATGTCAGAATGTGTTAACACGATCCCTGTATTGAATTCGCGGCTAATGATTCTAATTGTTCGTCTAATGGGGAAACGCACGTGCCTTCGGCTGACCTATATTCGACGTATCGGTCATATATGGTCGGAGATTGCTAGTGCAGTTCGCGAAAGAGAGGTTACGCGAATAACTGTCCGTCTGTATTCGCGGAAAGGAACTATCAAGGCAAACCAACCAATCCAATTGAAATTCAATTTTGTGTCCATGGAACGAAGAAAATATTTGTTCAAACTGATATGTTCTCGACCATTCAATTTTACTGTGCCGATTCGTTTGCTTAATTGGAGCAAAAACTATATTTTTTTTTTTTACTTTCTCTTTGTTTAATAGCGAATATGAATTAACGTTTAAGATACGTTTCCTTTCTAATGGTTCGCATTCAAAGTGACGGATTCAAGAGATGCACTCTCCTTTGAAGCACGAGATATCTATTTATATCATATTTTCTCATTGGCAAGCTGAGAGTCTTAAAGAGCATCCTTTGTATAAAAATACACTCTTAAAATTCACATCAAGTGTCTCATGAAAAAAAAAAAAATAGATTTGGAAACGAATTTATCGAATTTATTTATCAGATCAAGGAAAGATATATCTTTATTTTCCAAATACATTGACCCGCATCGCACATGGTCACTTTATCTGTGTATATTTTGAAATCGTGTTTGAATTAAACGAGAAACGATTGTATGCATACATGTCGATATCTCTTAAGTTTGCACTGAGAAATAAATTTCCCCCTCCCCCTTCCCCCCTCCAGGAAAAAAAAAGAGGAAATGAACAATTCGATTCGGGAATTGAAATCGATTCGCTTCTCGGAAAGAAAATTACACTATTATTTCCTTTGTCGAATAGACGGGAAAAATAATTGCAAAATTAAGCGCGGAAATTAAGGAGAATCGACGCGCGGATTCGCGGAAAAACGCGTTCCATGTTTTCGCGGTGCCCCGCACGCCCGACCCAGAGAGAAGATGCCCCGAAGCGAAGCCGAGACTCGACGGCGCCTGCGTGACCATGTGACGCCATTGGCGAACCGGGCAGCTCGTCCGCTAGACATTCAGTCTCGCCTCAGCATCGAATGAGGTTGTATGTGTTTACGGTGCGCACACTGCTCGGCAAAAACTACATATCACGGAAGTAGTCGGAGCTCGAGAGTTAATCCGACGGTGGTCGCGCGTAATCTGTTCGAACGCGCAAAAACAAGAAACACAGGCACGAAATCGCGTAACGCGTCGAGGCTGAGCGCGCGTTATAACGTTTCCTCGTCCTGTTCGCCGAGATCGGTCGAGATAGATCGATCGGAACTCTCCGTCAAAGAACGAAAAGTGTCAAGGAACGAGAGCCAAGAACAAAGCAGAGGAAAAGGAAGGCAAGAGAAAGATTGAACGAAGAAGATCTCGATGAAGCTTGTAGCTATCGTTTGAACGGGCGATTAACACGCGATACGCGCGCGTCCCTCTCCGTCTTCTTTCTCTCCTTTTTTGTCTCTTTTTCGTTATCTATTCGCGGGTTTGTCAAACGATAGACGATAACCCTCGCGTCCCTCGTACCGTTCCAATTAACGTTCCAGTGATAAACACGTGTCACGGAGAGTGCAGGAAACGAAGAGAAAGGGCAACCGGACAGACAAATTTGTTTGTTCTCGTCCGCAGACGATGCTATTACTGTTTGGCGAGTGACAAGTTCTAATCAAGAGAACATACACACACACACACACACACACACACATACACACACGTAGACGTACGGCGTTTAGTCCGCCGTCGATGCTTGTCACTACTCTGCGAGCATATCGCGGAGAGTACATGCAACGATCGGGTGCGTTACCGCGTGTGCCGAGTCGTTGTTATTCTTACTATGCACACTGAGAAGTACCCGATTACTATGAGAGAATGAGCTGCTCGGTGAAGATTTCCTGTGGCAAGAGCTGGAGCGGATCGCAGCGAAGGATCAACTCCCTCGCGGAGGAAACGACGTGCCCTGCGGTCGTTGGGAGCACGAGCTGCGCCGGCTTAGCGGGCCAACCGACCGCCGTAGCGTCGACCTCGACGTCGACCACGGCTACCACGTCCACGACGACCACCACAAACACCGTCAGCCCGAGCACGCTGACCAGCGGGAGCCAGAGGTTCGCGCCGTCGCGTCCTGTCAAGTCGATTGCCGCTAAAAAAGGGGAGGATACTACGAAACTGCTCAAGTACATCGACGATAACGTCATCGGCAAGAACGGCACGTTCTTCGGACCATTCGGCCGCAGGAAAGGTCAGTGATCAATATAGTCTTTACCCCTACCACCCTCTCCAGCCCTGCTGCCCCTTTGCCCCCACCAAACCTGACAAAGCTTCTCTCTTCCTTTCTCTCTCTCTCTCTCTATCTCTATCTCTATCTCTATCTCTCTGTCGTACTTTACGCGACTTTCTTGTTCTCGCGGTTTCTCTCTTTCTCCCTCTTCCCGTAGCCGACAGCACGCATCGGATTCACGATACAAAGAACCAGCGTCTAGCTACGGTCCATAAGCTCTCGTTAAGGTCGTCACCATCGTTCGATTAACGCGACACATTACCAGCTGTGCGCGTTCTATCAATAAAATCGAAGGTTCTCGTAGCTTCGACGAGTCGATTTCTGGCTGCCCGCGAGGGTGTTGCTCTGTCTATTGGACCACTTCCTCCTTAGTCTATCGCGCTCTCTGCTTCTTCAATCATCTCTCGATTCTAGATCATTCTATCTAAACGCGCGTGGATCATATGTACGTACGTATTCGTTTTACAGAATCGAACGGGCAGAGTCTCGTGGTTTCCCGAGCAGGTGCTTCTGCTCAAAGTCTGTTTCGCTATGCGCAATGGCAGGGGGATACCTCGCAAGTGCACTTGGCATATACCTTTCGTAACACGATACTTCGGAGAACCGTGCGTGGAAACCTCTGTGTTGCGAGCATGTATCTTCAATTAGGAACATAAGAGCACGTCGTACGTTCGTCGTTGGCGGTGATTCCGATCGATATCGCGAAAATGATCGTTTCTCCGGTTGTTATTGTTAACACGGCCGCGTGCGCGACACGCGAGTTTCCGTGAAAGGAATACCCTCGCGAAGAGATCGCTCTTATTTTGAGGTGTTCCTCGTGATAGGAGCAACGAGCAGCGAACGTATGTACATACGTATGAGAGATACGTATGAGAGAACCAAGCTTGATCGCGTACGACGCTTGCATAATTAATTTCTCTCGAGTATTTTGCTTTGGCGTAGCGGCAATAATGGAGAGGATATCGAAAGGCCACGGGTAGCACAAGCGTTCGTTCGTCAAACGTAAACAACCGGCGTTCCTCTACGGAAACTCGCTACTTAAATATTCAGAGGCACGAATGTTTGCGCGTTTTATTATTTCGATGTCGTTGACCTACGGTCATCTCGAAGGCCACCCATTTTTCTAACCTTCTAAAAAATTCCTTCTTGAGGTTCCCTCAGTTACGGGACGAGAAACTCTCGAGAGACAACAGAAATCGGTCCCTCTGCATCTTTCTTCCGGGCGACTTCGTAACTATATAACTATCATGGCGACGGTGTGTTTTCATCGAGTTAACTATACGTTCCACTCTAAACTCGGGTGTATCTGTCGATGAAGAAAGAAAGAGAGAAGGAGAGAAAGAGAACGCGAGGTACCTCGTGCACACACACGTTTCCTGATCGCCGTCCATGGTGAGCCACGTGCGATGCAAATTGCCACCGCCGCCCAGTTTAAGCGATTGGTCATTAGAAGTGGTTCCTCGCGTTTCATTTAAACGCTCGCCGATCTTCGTCGCGAAACATCCACGCGCTACTCTTCTCTAATAATTGTCCCTCGGGTGTCTGCCGACCGATTTGTGTAAATAGCGGACAAAACGACGCGGTGTCGTAATTATGTTTCTGGAAAATTGCTAACACGTTCGAGGTTGTTCTCGAGTGTTCTTTTCTTTCCTCTCGTTGAATAATGCATTCGCTGGAAGAGTAATTACTAAATTTGATCCGGCTCGCGTAGAAGAACGAATAACGTGCGATATTGTACCGCGCACAAAGAACGAAATCGATCCTCTTTTTCAGATGTTAACATTCGTCTGGCATTCCGAGGTCGTAACGACGCACCTCCGTTTGTTGTTAACGGTATTTATGCAAATAATAACGGTAGATACGAGAGCAGCGTTTTCAGAGTTTCTTTGGTTCCACGTGATTTCGAGTCCGCTTAATATTCCGATCGCGGAAAAGGAAATGTAAAAATACTCCGGAGAGAACACGCTTATAGCTAATTCATTCTTCCGCGAGGAGTTTGAAGATGAAATTAGAAGCTCGTGAATTTTCAGAAAATCGACAGCTTCTTCTATCCCTCGTCCTCTTCTTTGACAGAGGAGCTATTAGTGGTAACGTTCAGAAATAGCCTATCTACTAATAGGTCGTGTAATCTGGCAAACAATTATCGTCATCGGCCACGTAACGCTCTTTGGTTCTTTGGTAGGCCGCGAGCAACGATCGCGAATATCGTTCGAATTAACGTGCCATTCTCGGTTTTAATCCCGTTTCGAAGCGCGCTGGCGTTATTAGCGCTAATAGCCCGAAGCGTGGACGAGACGCGTGATTCATGAGAAGGTTGAAAAAGAAAAAGAAAGAAAGAAAAAGACACGTCGGACCAACGGTCGAGAAACAAGTTTCTCGAGTCGACAGATGGGCCAAATGCGTGTCGGTCTGCCGAATCTGCCGATGCACCGATTTGTCACGAGAGCGTCGATACGTGGCAAGATTGTACGTTTTATCTGGCCCGGTAAATGTTTTATCGTTCGAGACTCGTGCAGTTCTTGTGACACGATGGATGGATGTTGTTGGCATGTTCGCGGACCGAAACTATTTGTATGTATATGTATACATGGAAGGAAGCAGCGAAAACGTCGTGCATCGGACGACGAGGATGTCACGAAAGTCATAATGGCGAACATTCAAAATGACTCACGTCGCACGAGCGAGAAACGATAGCCGCGAATGCAAGAAAGCGCGATAAGAGCGGGTTTACTACGCGAGTAGCGTTATCGAAGTGGGCACAGTCAAGGACTCGACGACTGTACACCTCGAAAGAAAATGAAAACGAAAGTCCGCCTCTCTGTGTCCGTGGCTGCAGCCGACATCATCGATGTCGTCATCGCGCGGATATAGCCACGTGGATAGTTTTGTCAAGTGCAAGGTCAACCGGCGTGATACACACGCGTATCGCTGACATTTTCTTTTTTTTTTTTTTTTTTTTTTTTTTTTTGTCTCGTTGTCGATTGTCGATATCTTCGTTGTCACGTGATTTGTAACACAACAGCAGGAATAACACGCATTTTCTCTCTGTCGAGCGCGGAAAGTGTTGGCAAGATGGCGGAGAATCGAGGGATAGACGCGACGGATTGGTTCCGTGTCCCAANTTTTTTTTTTTTTTTTTTTTTGGTAACGCGACTCTCGTATTGCCGGGAATGTTGGCGATAAGATAATCGTTGGGACAAATTCCGACGTTGCTCGTGTATTCACGTATTCCGCTATGAAAATTCTCGTCGTTCTTCTGTCCCGTTGCGTTTTATTACTTTCGAGGAACGGCGTGTATATAAAACCCGTGAAGACCGATCGATCGTACGCCATGTGGAAGCGTTCGTAAAAGCCTGACCCAGTTCGTTATGCGTGCCGACACCTTGTTGACCCAATTCCAGCCCTCCCGACGTATAATAGTGGAGCAACGCCCACGAGCAGCGTCCCTCGTCTATCTTCTCCGCGATTTTCCACGGGATCATCGTTGACAAACGTTGCTCTCGCCTCGTTCTAACCGACGGAAATCAGACTGGAATGAAGTTTACGGCCGACCAATCGCGTACGTCGCTTCATTTCCAATGCACGCTTCGCGTGAACGTAATAAAAGCGGCGACATAACGACGGGCATTGTACTAGAAAACAACGAGCGGTATTCATCGTAATTTCGCTCGAACGGATTTACGTTCTCTCCCTCTCTTTCTCTACCTATTTTTCTGTCTCACTTTTCACGTTCTACAGAGTTACGAGCAACCGTTTGAAATTACGCCCGTGGTAGATCGCTCGTGGTAGCATCCGTCGAGTGGCAATCCAGCCGTGTAATTACGTGACGATAATGTGACCGACCAATCGATGGTAAGATTCGCTCGAATCCGGTACTCGCGAGAATCACGATGCGATGTTCGCGGTGAAAGCGCCGCGAGATTAGAGCCTGATAAAACTATACGAGGCTGGATTGACTATCGTCGATGATCGACTATCGTCGCGTCCTTTTCCGTCTGACTGTGCCGTTAATCGGACGGGCTCATTCTACTGCCGGGCGACGCTGGCCTACGTTCTGCTGCGCGTCACATGCCGATGACTCTCCAGTATCCAGTAGAATTGATCGCGTAGAGCTGAAAATTAACCCGGGATTACCCACGTGAGGGTCTAGTCGCCGGGATGTACCTGCGCTAGACCCCCAGGTGGATAATCCCGGGTTAAAATGGCATGTTAAAAAAGTCGCGAGAGCGTATGGTGATATCTCGTTCACGCGGCGCGACAATCCCTTTCGTTTCGTTACGTGTGTACTTTGCGCTCACGTCCACCAGAATTCGGTAGTCTGATTCGTGCTAAGCGATAGCGCACAATGCTGTCACGGTTTTTTTGTTTTTCTACGAAATCGTACATCGCAATTTCATTTCTCTCTCTTTCTCGTTTCGTCTCTGTTGCTGTTTTTTTTTTTTTTCTTATTTTTGTAGTTGTTATGTTCTTTTTACGTTTTCTCCGAACAAGTGTCGACTCACGACGACGTGGCGGCCCGATCTCGATAACGAATTCAACGGCGTAGAATATAAAAAAGACAGCGTCGAATTTCGCCAAGGCGCGTTTCATAGGTCGTGTATTCTGCGCGTCGTTCTATCACACGGACAGAGACAAGGAGAGATAAAGAAAAGAGAGAGGGAGAGAGATTTGTGTTACATCAGAGTTTGCGCGGCTCGCGAAACCATCTCTCCGCCGAGAGGAAGCCGAGCTAGCGCTATCATTGAACATACATTCTACGCACGTTGTTCTCACGGTCTTGAGAGAGCAGTATGTATCTTGACGAACTCAACTCGTATCTTCCCTTTGGCTAGTGTTACGAGCAGCCTCGTGCCGCGTCGTCGAATAAAATTCTCTCGCCTTTTCTCGCCCTCGTTGCCTCGAGCACCATCGATCGATTTACGGTCTGTGGAGTATGCAGTAGATACGCGATATAAATGACA